GCGGCACACGAGCAGCTGCCAGCGGGACCGAGTCCCGTGTCCCCGCACCCCGGTGCACCCTGCCCTCCCGAGGAGCATCCCTGGAGGCTCCAGCCTGCATCCCACGGAGCGGACGTCTCCGGGAGGACTTCCAGGAGCCTGGGAACCGAGCCACCCTGGAGACTCTGTCTTGGGTGGGCCTTGAACAAAGACAAACAGAATTTATCTTAAGAACGATGATAAGTAGCACCATTTGTGTTCACTTCCAGTCTTTACTGAAATATCCTTAACGATCTTCAGTGCGCATAGGACAGCTGCTGGAGCCTACCAGCGAAGGTCTTGTTTTTCAGAGACCTTAAATGTCCCAAGTCCAGGAAAAATAAAAACCTCTGCTGCCTTGTTTGCCCGCAGGGACAAGGCTCAGCCCTTTTCCCCGCGGTTGCAGCCCTGTGGGTCCTCACACCACACGGTCACGCGGTTGGATCCTGCAGTTTCTTCTCTTGCACCTGGTTCGTGCTGGAGGGAGGGCGTGGGGCCGGGGCTGCTGCGCGCTGCTGGGCGCGTCTCCGGGGATGGTCCTCCTTCCCTGCCCTCCCCAGGTCCCCGGGAAGATGGACGAGAACGAGTTTGTAGCGGTGACCAGCACCAATGCTGCCAAGATCTTCAACTGCTACCCCAGGAAGGGGCGCGTCGCTGTGGGCTCCGACGCAGACCTGGTTTTGTGGAACCCCAAGGCAACCAAAATCATCTCGGCAAAAACCCACAATCTGGTAAGATATTTTAAAAAATTGATTTCTTGAGCTGGTTTTAGAGTCAGAAGAGAGCAGTAAAGCAATATATTTCTTCGGATCGGAAAGTTGAGCTCACTCAGCAAGGGAGGAGCTGTTGGTGGGGATAAGGTGATGAAGGACCTTGCATTTGCTTCTAAAAACACAAGCAAATGGCAGTGTCCTGTGGTTACTGTGAAGGGTGGGATTGTAACGGAGGAGCAGGGACTGCGCCGAGACGGTCTGCATCCGGTACAGAAATGTAAGCTCACTGTGTTCGCTGCGGACTGGAGAATCCCAGGTGCTGAACTTGCTTTGGCTCAGCGGAACATACCGGCACCCTCCCCGCAGAGCCGGGCCCCTTCCCACGCGGGCTCCGCGGGCACTGAGGGAGATTCGGGTCCATCTCGGTGGCATTTTAGCCGTGGCTTTCCAGGCCATGGACGTCCCCAGACCGGGTTCCAGCCTGAGCCTCCGACAGAAAGCCGCAGCTGAAAGAGAGCGGGGGTGAGGTGGGCTGACGGGTCCCGGTGACAGAACCGACCGAGGTTTATGTAGAAACACTTTGACCTATGTGGTTTGTTCACCAAAGTGTTTTTTATTGAAGAAAATAATCACTGTGATTGGAATATGCAGGTGTTTCTTTAACAAACAGAAACAGGTTTTCTTTTGGTCCGGAAAATGTGCTGTTGCCTTTTTGTAATGCTGCATTTTCTCACTGAAACTCTGGGGTTTGGGTAGTTTGTTAGTGATAGTAACGGGAGCATCTGAAGAAAGCAGCATGATTGTGTATTTCCCACAAACCAGACCTGACTTTCCGTGCTTATTTTGGTAGAAGACTTGCAGTGACTTGGAAGAAATGAGAAGAGCTTCTGTCCCAGATGGAGAACTTGAGCGGGGCTCTTCTGGGGCTTGCAGGGAATGAATTGTTCACGTACAGTAAAAGTCTGGTTTGCTCCCGGGCTGCTGCGTGTCTTTTGGGCACGTACTGCCTGTTTTGAGGAGTTAGTTTCTCCATTCCAGTTTGCTTTATAGAATCACAGAATGGTTTGGGTTGGAAGAGACCTTAAAGCTCATGTGGTTCCAACCCCCCTGCCATGAGCAGGGACATCTTCCACCAGCCCAGGGTGCTCAGAGCTCCATCCAGCCTGGCCTTTATTTGAAATGCAAAGGGTCAGTCAGGCGCAGCGGATTGTGCGCGAGGAGCAGTGCGCAGAAACGGGGAGGGGTGCGTGGCTGGCCAGACGGTCGCCGGCTCTTCTTCACTCGTAGCCGTGCTGAGGGTCTTGGTTTGTTCTTTGCAGAACGTGGAGTACAACATCTTTGAAGGCACAGAGTGCCACGGGGTTCCTACCGTGGTCATAAGTCAAGGAAGAGTTGTTCTTGAGGATGGAAACCTGTTTGTCACCCAGGGGTCAGGCCGCTTCATTCCGAGAAAGACGTTCCCTGATTTTGTTTATAAAAGGATAAAGGCAAGAAACAGGGTAAGGAGAAATTTATTTGCCATAGTCCCATATTTTCATTGCAGTCTCTGCACTATTGTATCACAGTCGCTGTTATAGTAAGCTTCCTGATGGAACAGGCAACAGGAACAAGAATATTATTGATATTATTTCTCCTTAGGCCTTGGAAACTTGTCATGGTTCATGTGACCGCTTTGGTGCCTGGCGTGGCACATCAACCAGTGATGCCTGTTTTGCATTACAGCTATAATACTAGTATTTGTAGTGTTCTTTGCCTGCTAGAAAGTTGTAAAGCAAAAATATGACCGCTACCAAACCTGGTTTCATCTGGCTTGCACTGAGTAGCAGGGAGGAATTCCTCTCCTGCCTGTGTTAGAGAAGTTTAAGTTTCTGTTTTACCAGTATCTGCTCTGCGTCTGTCAAAGACTAATGGCTGTAGCCTTTGGTAGTTACTGGAAATACAGGAAGATAAATCCCTCGGAGCGCCAGCACAGCGTTTTTAGGAGATCTGAAGATGTGCAATTATATAAAAAGCTACTTAGCAGCTCTGCCATCCTCCCTTTCTCCATGTGTCATTTTAGACGTATTTATTAGGCATCGTGGGTGGGTGTAGAGCAGAAGTCATTCACCCCAAATCCCCTGCAGAGGCACGGGCAGCGCTGGCAGCTGCGGCAGGAACCCCCGGGGGGGGCCTGGGGGGGGCCTCCAGGCTCAGGGCAGGACGGGGATGGGACCTGCCAGGGCCCTGCAGGATGGAGATGGGGATGGGGATGGGGATGGGGATGGGACTTGCCAGGTCCCTGCGGGATGGCAATGGGGATGGAGATAGGGATAGGACCTGCCAGGTCCCTGCAGGATGGAGATAGGGATGGAGATGGGGATGGGGAAGGGGATGAGGATGGGGATAGGGATAGGGATGGGGACGGCTGTCTCCACTCTGTCTGCCAGCGTCAGGGGTGGCCTCCTCCGTTCCCCCGGCACGTTCCATATCGCCCCCTCCTGCCTGGGCCGCCGCTCCGGGGGTTGGAGTGAGGTGGGTGTTGGTCTCTTCTCCCAGGTAACCAGCGATAGGACGAGAGGCAATGGCCTCAAGTTGTGTCAGGGGAGGTTCAGACTGGATATCAGGAACAATTTCTTTACTGAAAGAGCGGTCAGGCGTTGGACCAGGCTGCCCAGGGCAGTGGTGGAGTCCCCACCCCTGGAGGGGGTCAAAAACCGTGTGGATGTGGCACTTCAGGACATGGTTTAGCAGGCACGGGGGTGTTGGGGTGATGGTTGGACTTGATGATCTTAGAGGCCTTTTCCAACCGTCATGGTTCTGTGATTCGATGAAAACCCCGCAGTAAGGGGTTAAGCCCAGGCAGAAGGACAGCAAGTCATCGCCTGTGTGTTGGGTCTGGTTCTTGTTCACCTGAGCTTAAACCCGTGCCTTGCTTCCTCCCACCGGGCAGCTGGCCAAGGTCCACGGCGTCCCCAGAGGGCTCTACGACGGGCCAGTCCACGACGTCATCGCCAGCGCCAAGGCCGTGGCCCCCACCGCGGCCTCCAGGATCGCGCCCTGCGCGGGCAAAGCCCAGGCTCCTCCCGTGCGCAACCTCCATCGGTCGGGGTTCAGCTTGTCAGGTGGGGCCCGGGGGCGGCGGGGCTGCTCTGCCCGGCTGGCACGGGGATGAGGTTTAGGAGCTTAATTTTTGCTCAGTAAAAAGCAAGTCCTGCCGTTGCCGCAGCCTCGGGACTAAACGCAGCTGAGGAGGCTCTGGAATGTGCTGCAGAGTTGCTGTAAACGGACTCAAAGGGTGCATCCGAATCCCGGCGGGGCCGTGAGAACGCTGCCGTCGAGTCGGGGGCTAGGAGCGGTTGGGTTGTAGAGGGGAGCCAAGGAACTCCATTTTCAGGAAACAGAAAGATGATTCCTTTGGCCTTTGTGAGTAATCAGGCAGAGATTCAGCACCGCTCCGTCCAGCGTCCCGCAGGACTCTGCCCAGCAGCTTTCGGGACATTGGAAAACCATAAAATAACTCTGGCAGTGTTGTTTTCCTAGCTGGCTGAAATCAGGTGGATTGCGTATTTTTTAATGAACATACAAGATCCCACATTTTATTACATAGAAACTGTTCATTTATAGGAAGACCATTTATAATCTTTTCCAGAAAGAAGCAGTAAAAAAATAACCTGTACTATGCTCACCCAATGTCCAAAGCAGTACGTGCTGAGCACAGCAGTGTTTCCCACCAAGGGCCCGTTCTGCGACCCGTGCACGCACGGCGGCGGGACTCCCCTGCCTGTCTCTTCCCTAGGGTCGCAGGCGGACGACCACGTTGCCAGACGCACGGCTCAGAAGATCATCGCCCCGCCGGGTGGACGCTCCAACATCACCTCGCTGTCCTGATGGCC